ACATGAAAAATCTTAAGCCTCCACTATGAATTCTGAGAATTGAATCCTTTTTAAAAAAAAAAGTAGGATTTGAAGGTCTTGTTTGCTGTTTCCCTGCTTCCACTGGCACCACCTTGTATAATCTTTTCTATAAACAGATGAATTTCCATGTTAGTAATAGATTAATTTTTTTAATCCTTCCCAGAATGGCAGCTGCAGGTAGGTTGCTCCACACTCTCACTGATTGTGAAGCTTAGCAACTTTCTTTTAACTTGCAGCACAAAGGTATTAATTTGTTCTTAGGCCGGCATTGTCCTTTGCCTTTGAGTTCTTCTCCCCCTCCGTTTTAAGTTCTCTCCTTAACCCTAATGCATATGTTGTTGTGTCCTCACTTCATCTTCATCTGCTCTGCCAGTCAATCTTCGGTGGTTTTTCTGGCAGCGTAGACTATCCCTATGTCATCCTAATCATCTTGCTGTGCCTTTTCAGGCGTGGGTAGGTCACTAGAATCAGATGCCTTATCTCAGCTGAAATCTTGCGCTCTGCACAGTAATGCTGGTACTTCTCCATCCCACTGGAGAGTTTCCCGTGATCTTATTTGTCCCTTTTTTCAGACTTACCATGTTGATAATGTACAAGCATCCAGAGATCAACCAGTTCATCTAGGCTCTTCTACTGAGCTCCACTACTGGAAAGGGCTAACTGGAAATTCTTGTTAATTATCTATAAGTGCATGGCCATGCAGTTTTGTATGTTCAGACTTCATCTGGTTTCTATTATGTCAGTCTGGATGCTTCTCCAATTCCTTGTGGAAACTCTAGTCCTCCCTGCATTGATGGTTCCTCCTGAAGGTCTGTGTAGTTCAGAAGTCAGTTTGGATTCCCATCAAATGTAGACTGTTATTTGGACAAATTGCAGCAATTTTACTTGTTTCCAAAATGTCTGCAACTTGGAACACATTTCTGTTTTAACTTTAACCAGAAAACTGAACAAAATTTAGTTATGCAGATGCAGCTGACATTAATCTAACTACCCGGCTCAACCCACTAGCTGATTTACAGAGAGTTGTCTAATTACCTGGCAATACAAATGCTCAAGTGACCAGAACTAAGGTTCGTTGAGTGTTCAAGCTTTGATTCTGTGTTTTATTTATTTTTCCTTACAAAATTATCACTCTGATAGTGCATTCACTCTGATGGTAGTGCTGAGCTTCTTTCTGATGGAAACGTGGTGGGGAGGAAAGCAGAACATATTTTTTTTTGTAGACACTGGCTTAATCTGGTAGTCCTTCATTAGTAAACCACATGTTAGTCTGTAGCAGACCATTCTGACAGTACTCATATTGCCGGTTCCTGAAGATGCTTGCTGTCATGTACTGTGCAGCTGGTCTTTCAAAATACAGAAAAACATCCATACATGTTGTATAGCAGCAGACGCAATTCTTAAAGAAGTGTCCTCTTGCTTGCTAACTTCAGAGCTGGCTTCTAGGTGAAAGGGATGGGGATTACAGCCTAGGGTGTCTATAGCAGCTTTGCTGAAAGACATACGAGAAGATGCTCTGTGTACTGAACCAAATCTCTGTCCACTAGGTTTGAGAGCACTGTGCAGGTTGGCAAACTGCAGGACCTTATCAACCGAAGTAAGATGGCGAGGTGTAGAGGACGATTTGTTTGCCCAGTCATTCTGTACAAGGGAAAGGTAAAGCTTCATGGGTTACCTGTCTTAACTTAGAAAATGACCTTTCTCCCTGCGTTTGAACTGTGCAGCCATGTCTTCAGCTGGTTGTCACCTTTCCGAATGCTGTAAAAATCTGCTCTTCGGTACAAGCAGGCAGCCTGTAGTAGTAGGTAGCATTTGCTGTCTAGGCTGCATAAACCATCTGTGGGGACTTCAGGCTATTTTACCCCACCATGTCATGAGCATTGCACCAAAGAGCTAACATTTTTCTCGATATGTATGTCCCTTCTGAAGGACCAAAGATATTTGGTTTCTGAGAGGGGAGAGATGGCTATTGTCACTTTCTGCCCCTTACTCTTCCCAGCACTGAGCTCCCTTTGAATAACTTTTCTCTCTAAAGAGAAGTTTCCATTGTCTGTTCCCTGGGGAGGCAAGATTGCATAAATGGTCTTATGAATGTGTGGGCTTGTCTGCAAGGGGATCTGTAAGAAAGTGAAATTAGATTCATTTTTATGTGGATTACTTAAACTGTATTGAAGCCCTGTAGGAGTAGTCTCATTTAGAATAAGTAGCTTAATTCAGTTTTCTTAGTTCAATTTAGAAACACTGTATGAAAAGCAAAATCATACCTGTGACAATTTTAATCTAGCTTGACTGAAGCCACCGTGGGCTGAACCTGCTGACCTTTTTCTGCAGGAGTGAACTGCCCAGAGTCATACTGGGACCATCCATAATCTTATCCACAGGAATGTGGAAATAAGGCTCAAGCAGGGTATTAACGGAGCATGGATGTTGCTAACTTGGCAGGAATTGACTGTATTAGTGAATTGGAGAACTGGAGATGAAAATGTGATTTAAAAACTAGCTACAGGTAAAGGCACTTGGGCATTTGATGTGTTTGGAGAACTCGATCTGGACCAGGGTTGCAGGGGAGACTGCTGAGAGGCAGTAGCTGTAGGTACCAACCATTTCTGTGTAACATGACAGCAAATAGGCCAGAGACCTGATAATAACCTGGAGTGTGCATGGTTAATAACAAAATCTTCCTCCAGCATATATGCAGATCAGCAACGTTGGCCGGCTGGGGAGAGCTCTATGGGCGCACTGGCTACAACTACATCTTCTCAGGTGAGTGAGGAGCCATTTGTCGCTGTCTGCCTGGTAAGGCTGGTCAGTGCTGGGACAGTGACCTACACACGAGAGCAAGCTCTTCCCGAGATGAGAGCCTCTTGCATGGACCTGCTTGTATCAGGCCCTGCATAACAGAGCAAAGACTGAAATCTCATGTCCATTTCCAAGTACCATACTACAGGACAGAGTGCCATAGCTCATAAGAAGCAGTGACAAAAGAACTTCAGGCTGAAAAGTGAGTTATGGAAGGCATGTAGGCAAGTAAGGCAGCCCAAAGGATTCGGGGTACTGATTCCCAAACATCGAGGGTGGGAATAATGGAAGAAAGAGGATAAGAACTTGCTGTTGCTGGGCTAATCATTGGGAATCAAATCTTCCTAATGGTGAGATATACTGGACTCTAGGGAAAGCTCTTCAGGGGAGTATTGGGTGTCTGTAGTGTGGGAGCTGAAGCTTGGCTTAAAGTACTGTGTAGCACTATTGGGGTGTCCTTCTGGCTGTCAGTAATGGGTTTGACCGGCCTAGGTCTTTTGCAAAGACAAGGGAAGAGTGGGCTACGTTAGAAAATAGGCTTTTCGGGAAGAGGAGATGTGGGGAACTATTGAAAGTACTTATGTGTGGAGAGAGGGTGCCAAACCATGACCTTGGTTTGGCACGTGCATGTCTTGTCAGACTGGGGATTGAGTTGGTTTATACAAGCTTCAGTTCTTAATGCCTTCCTTGCAGGAGGTTCTGACGATGCTTGGGCAGATGCAGAAGACATTTCAGAGGAAGATTCTGCACTTAGGTTTGTATGCATCACTGGGATGGAGAAAAGGGAGTTTGGACCAAAGCTGACTGGCTCAGCCACTCAATCCTGCTCTTTCTTATGCTAGGCTTTGGGTACAGACTTGAGACCATCACCAAACTTTGAGTCTTACTTTCCTTGCTTTTGAAAAAGAGTCTTGAATGCTAATGGCTGGCTGAATCCAGTGTAACTGAAGCCTGCTAATCTATTGCCAGAGGGAAGGGCTGGAGATAGGAATATATAGAGCCATTTAAAAAGGTATTTGAATTACACAGACATGTTTACTTCATCAAAAAGCACATCTCCAGGCTGGATAAATTGTTCTGTATTTCATGTGCTTGTTGCAGCACAGAGTGAGGTGTGGAGAGGGACCCTAAGCATGAAGTTTGCAGTATCAGTTCATTGCAGAGTCTGACTCTGACCTGTGGAGAGAAGGTTCATGCAGCTTATGGCTAGAAGTGATTCAGGGAAGAGCTGTGGCAGTATTGTGCAGAGAATCAGACTCAACATGGTCAGCCTTCCATGCTCATCTTGCTTTGTCTTGTTCTGTCTTGCAGAAATGCAGACTCCCAGCTGTTTGACAAGGTCAGAGGGCATGACATCAAGCTGCTTCGATACCTGTCTGTCCGATATATCTGTGACCTGATGGTGGAAAACAAGAAGGTGAAGTTTGGCTTGAAGTGAGTCTGGGTTCATTTGTTTTTCTGCAGGCTTTGGATTGCAGCTAGTGTAGCCCTTACACGTGAATTGTTATTGGGTGTGCATTCAGCAGCCTGGGAGCAGTCCCTGGAAGAGTGCTACAATGGGATCAGTTAGTCGATGCTGTAAAGAGAACCCCAAGGTTTTAGGCCAGAGAAAGCTGTATCAATGGGCAGGACAGCTGCTTTCATCTGTCTTCTGCAGTCTGAGTAGGTTTTGTCTATAGAGCTTGCAGTGATGTGACAGTCACCCCTTCAGAAAGGGGAGAGTAAAGGAGCCCTCTGCTTGTGTAAAGGAGATGTTTCTCCTGGTATTTCTCTCAGAGAAAAGCTTTAGTGGTTTTGGGCTATGTGTTGAGTAAGTTCTGCCCCTGCTCGCTACTGAGTCAAGTTACTGTGCAGTGAGATGCGACAGGTAGCTTTTGGGTGCTCGTATCTCCATGAAAAATACTCTACAAATGTCTGCTGTTTTTCTCTTGTCCTGTGCAGTGTGACATCATCTGAGAAGGTGGACAAAGCTCAACGTTACGCTGATTTCACACTTCTCTCCATCCCATATCCAGGTACAGGACTGATGTCCAGAGGGACTCCCAAGGGACAGGTGACAATCCGTTTCTGGGGACTGGGAACTACCTGTGTGTGGGTGGTGAAATGACTGTGGCTTGTTGAATGCTTCCTATGCTCCCTCTGGAGAGAAGCTTTTTTAAGCCGAGAACAGTGCAGTGAATCTGGATGCTCTGGCAGTGTGAGTCAGCATTAGGCACTCTTTGAGGTGGCAAAAATAATTTCTCAGCAGTTCTAATTAATTCAAGCGCAGAGAAAAAGTCCCAGGGGTGGAGCTGGGGTTAAGATGGCCTTTGACACCCCCACAACTCCAAATTACTACTTGATGCAAAATATGTATCTTGCTCTGTGTTATGTAAAACCCCGATTCTTAAGAGTATTTTCTAGTCCTAGTGTTCCAGAGCACCACTGTAAGATATCCTCAGTGCTAGGCAGAATTGTTACCCTAAGCCTGCAATGTACGACTGAGATGCAGACCACTCCAGCCCGTCTCCCTGGCTATATTAGTCCCTGTGCCTAGCAACCACTGCTGGGTCACTTGCTACGCTCTTAAAGATGAGCTGAATATTTGCTGCCTGCCTGCTGATGTCAGGCTCGGTGATAGGATTGGATGTGAGACTGCTGTGCTTGAGGTCTGTCTGCAAGAAAGGACTCTTTCTTGCACACCAAGAAAGGGAGAGGAGAAAAAAAAAAAACCTGTTGTGGATGATCCAAACACAAACTTTTCCTTGATTACTGGTTGTTGTCTTTAATGTTGTTTTTGTTTTTTTTTTAAAAAAAAGTGTATCTCCTTTCATACAGAAATTGGTGACAATTCAGAGAAGCTGCATTAAGATTTGTATCGAGTTTGCCATGCAGATTGCCAAGGTGTACAGAAATAAGAGTGTTACTGGTTTCTGTAGCTTGTGGCTCAGGTATATGTTGCTGCCATATGCCTCATCAAACTTAGACCAGGGTAGAGAGAATGTACGCAGGTCTTTTTCAGGGTTTGTAAAGAATGAAGAAGTGATTCTATAGAATTAAGCTGTAGACTTGTTGCTGTATGGGGATCTGTATATTGTATGCAAGATTCAGTGATGGTCCTTCCTTCTCTGCCATCTGGGACAGCTGCTGTCTTTTAGCAGCTCTTCACTGCTACACTAGAGGTAAACCTTATAAAACCGGAAACTCTCCCTGCAGATGTTGCCTGATTTCAGCAGTGCTGGTTCAGAGGGGTGTGTTGTCATTCTGTTAGATCTAAAGCATACACATCTAAAGATCAGCAACCCCTCTAGTGACTGGCCAAATGCCATGATATGTTCTTAATGTTTCTAGGTTTGCATTGGAAGAATTTCTATTTGTAATTTGTCTCTCAAATTATTCTGAGATCTGTTGTCTTAGGTGAGTGAGGCAGTTGTCCAGACATGACTGTCTAGGGTGAAAGACTTGGGTTAAAATGGGGTATCTGTAGAAGCTTTTGTGCTCTCCAGTGCAGAAAAGCCCTCTTTTCCATTTGACTGGTAGTTGGCATTTGTAGATGCCATACTTACTGCCATAATCCCCCATTCTTTGCTTTAAGCTGTTGTTTAATTGGAGTTAAATCTCCACTGACAGATTGCTTCCTGACTGTATGTTTTTGAGGGCTACTGTTGTCCTTGCACAAAGGTTGTTTTCACCATTGGAGTTACTTGTGACTTACAGAGTTGGAATCATTGCCTGCATTCAGTGCCTGGCACAGGGGTGTCTTGGTAATGTGGGCACCGTGGCGCTGCTGGGGCATACACAGTACATTGGGAGAGGTGTTTTCGTGTAGCCTGCAGGCAGCCGCAGTGCTAATGGTGCTGCTCAGCTGTCACTAAGTGACTGCAGTTTGCTGCAGAGACTTCAAATAGTTGTTTGAGAAGAACAGAGCCAAAGGACAAACCTCAGGAGGGGAAGGCTTGGGGGGAAACCTTGGAAGTGGTTGTGTACCTGCTTCCTTCAGATAGGGCAATTCACGTGGTTGAAAGAGGAGACTTAAATGTGAGAGAAATCACAGCCACTTCTGACAGATCACAGCCGCTTCTTGTTACCTGCAGCAGATGCCCTGCGAAAGTTGGCTTTCCCCAGGGCTCTGCCAGCACCTCCTTTTGCTGGTTCCTTCTCACGCAGCGTGTCAGGCTGATGCCTTAGATCTGTGCAAAAGCCAGTGGCCCTGGAAAGCATAGCTCCTTGGTGAAACCACTTGTTTGGGAAAGAATGAAATCAGTCCCTCAAACTCCACATTTGTTGTGTGTTTGGAGTTTGCCCTTTGCTGTGTGAGTGTGTTCACTGCTGAGTGCTCTGGGCTGTTGCTTCTGGGAGGCTGTGCTGTACACTCTACTGATGATTACTGCTCTTCTCTTCCCGCAGGCAGCAGTTTTGATTGGTTTGGCGCTCCGGCGCCTGGGGCTGCCAGCACTTCCAGTCCCATAGGGCACTTCAGTTGTTAGATATCAGTTAGCTGAACAGTTGTTCATTATTTCTTTTTCTTGCAGGCTGTGAATTTTTTAAGGAGTACAAAGACCGGGATTATACAGCTGAAGGTCTCATATTTAACTGGAAACAGGTACGTGGATGTAACAAAATGGAGAGCTGTGGGCTTTACTGGGCTTAAGTCTTGCCTCAGAGTTCCTGAGCGATGGTATGTATGTCATGTGCTTATTTCTGATCACAAGAAGCAAACCAACAGGACAAACAAAGCAAATAGCAAATGTACCAAATTACTCATTCATTGTAAAATTCGTATGCAAAATAAATGAATGGTTATCCTGAAGTCCAGGATACTTGACCTCTCATGGGAGGTATGGGTTGCTCCTGTTTTTGAATTTGGTATCTTATTGATAGCCTCTGTTCTCAGTTCTGTCTTCATATGCTGTCTCCTGCTGTGCTGTCTCTGTCTGAAGGAGATGGTTGAGTGGAGCAGCCCTACAGGAATTCAGAAACTAACGTGCCTTGTCCCTGGCTTTCACTGTTGGGAGCACAGAAAAGCTCCTCTTGTCCACTGGTCCTTCTAAGAGGCTGTAAGTTAATTCTTACCACTGCAGGTTTTTGCATTCAAAGATACTTTGCTTAGGTGCTTTCTTCTAGATGCACTGTTTGGCATTTGTTGTTTTGTTTTTCTGGAACTTGCTGCCCTCTAGTCACGGTTTTTCTCTGACCAGTTGTGTTTGGGTTTTTTTCAGGATTACGTAGATGCTCCATTAAGTATCCCGGTCTCTCTGACCCAATCTCTGAATATTGATTGGAGCGAGTACCAGGTGAGCAAAGCAGGCATCTCTGTGGGTGGTCAGAGACTCAGTCAGGAAGGATCAATAAAGATTTGAAGTCTGACTTGTTCCTGTTGCAGTAATCTGGCTTGCTTCATACCATCCCAGTGGGAGTGGGACTGCAGACTGGTTGTTCAGAATAGCAGTAGAAGTCCTCTACCCAAAAGCTTCCTGGCTTGGTGTGTCCCAAGGCAGCTGACTGTAACGTCAAATCTTTTTCTGTAGCTTGTGCAAAGTTTGCAATCCATTAGGGAGATATGTCAGTAACAAAGGTAAGGAACGTGCCAGCAAACAGAAAGCAGTATTACTTGTTCACAATCTTAGCTAGGCTGTGGAGAGTCTTGAGAGAGATCAGCCTTCCCTTATGTGAGCAGTAGCCAAGTGATTAAGCACCTCCTTCATGGGTGTGCAGGGTACAAGGTACCTGTCTTAGGAGAGGAGAGTAGAAAGTCATAATTGACCATAGCATGTCTCCATTCCTTATTACCGTGACAGCATCGCAAATTATAATTGAACTCATGTGTTTGCCCAAGCTTCAAGTTTTACCTTTGTTCATACCAGGGAGCATCACCTTATACTGCTGATTAGTCTGCTCCATTTCACACATCAGTGGACCTCCCAATCCCCCCAGGTTTTGTGACGATCGACTGTGCTGGAGCGTGTCATGCTCCTATGCTCTGTGGCTGGAAGCACCACAGAACAAGCAGAGCTCCCCGTGCTGGGCCAGTGTTTGTCAGTCACTTTTAAGTGCCAGCATAAGCAGAATCACAGAAAAGTAGCTTGCAGTATTGAAGCAGAACTAATGGGACCACAGCTTGTTTATGGCTAGAAACTCGTTCACTAGAATACTGAGCAGCCAGTATTTTAAAAAGGATATTAAAAATTGAAGAGGGTGTAATAAATAGATGCAGAAATGATCTGAGGACTGGAGAAGGTGCTTCACTTAAAGCTGAAGTTCTCAGTCTGTTTAGCTAATCACAAAGGTGATGGAGGGTTGACTTGATTAATGTGTAAGTACATTTGCAGGGAGAAAATACTAATTCTAAAGCGCTCTTCAATCTGGGAAAGAAAAGCTGCACAGGAAGCAATACCTGCAGTCTGAAATCAGACCTTCAAATAAGGAAAAGCAGTCTTGCGTGTTGTTTTTGAGGATGATCTGTTGGAACATGCTGTTAAAGGAGTGGTGAACTGTCACCCCTAGTTGAGGTGCTTTTCTGGGCAGAGACGTTGCCAAATGCAAGCTTCAGGCTGTATTTGGGGCAACTGAACAAAACTTTCTGGTTTGTGGTATAGAGAGATCAGACTGGATGATTAGATGATTCCTTCTCGCATAAGCACAAGATTGGGTTGAACTGGGCAGATAAAAGACTTTGGAACTATGTATTTTTCTGCCCCAGGCTGAGTGTGTTCCCCATTTCACTACTCTTTTGTTGCTGTGCAGGCTTCACAGCAGAGTAATATGTTCTTTGTCTGACAGTAGTCTTAAGTGCGGTTACACACACACGTGCATGCATGCAAGCACACAGCAAGTGTTCTATCGCTGGTGGTCAGATGTCACTTATACCACTAACACTGTCACAATGAAACATGTGTCCCTTGCCTTGCCTTTTGCTTGCCAGTGCTATCCTATTTTCCTTGAGCTAGTTCTGGCTCTGATCAGACCACTGAAATTCCCTGCATCTTCTCATGATACAGTGGTCGAGAGTGGCACACTTGAGCTTGTTCTGATGTTTTTCACCTGCATCTCTTGTAATGCTGGTAGTCTCTGAGTTCAGAGTCCTTCTGTGGTGCTGCTGCTACTTGGGCGTTACTGCGGAAGTCCAGTGCCTGTCTGGAGCAGCTGGGAGTGGGTCTGCCCTCTGCAGGGAGCCTGCTGGGGCCACTTACAAGGGCCAGAGAGTTTTGAGTAAAGTGCTTGGGTTGTGGGAACGGGCTGCTGACCCAGCTCACCCCATCATGCTACTTGCATCACATATACAGCTGTAACATGGCTGCTGAGCCATTTGGTAAAGTGCACGCATGCGGGGGGCTGCAGAACTGGGTCAGCACTCTGCAGGTGTTTGCTGGCTCACATTAGTCTCTCTGAGCATGGTCTGCTTGGAGCTTTGGGGCTGCAGGCAAGCAGGTTCTGTGACAGCCAGGCAGGCAAGCGAGTGGCCTTTCCCCCCTGTCCCCTGGTCTCTTGTCCCAGAGTGCCTTTTGTAGAGCATGGGAGGATTGATTAGAGCACCAAGGGAGTCTGTCACTCTGAGGAACGGCCACAGGGTTATTTCTGCTTTGCTCTTGTTCTGGATAGAGAAGCCAAGAACATGGTGGGCTCTGAACTGCAGAGCAGCCTTTTGCTGTGGGCAGACCTTTACCATCAACATTTCTCTTTCTGCAGAGCTGGGACCTTGTGCAACAGACACAGAACTACCTGAAGCTGCTGATCTCCATCATCAATAGTGATGGTAAGGCAAACTCCCTGCTCCCAGCAGTCTAACTGGAACAGTCACTGTCTGCAGAACAACAGCTGATGGTATTAGTGCCACTCTTTATAGAGAGCTCTTTATAGAGAGCTTTACTTCTCTCCCTTCAAAACAGGGTGATGGTCCTAGCATCTCAGGGCACCAGCTCCCCTCTTAGAAAGGGACTTGCTGATCCCTTGAAGACCCTCTCTTCTCAAGAGTGGAGAGATATCTGAACACTTTACGTAAAGTTTTACTGCTTTAAAGCTGAAGAGAAGAAATATTTGTTCTTCTGCTTGTTGATTCTTGCTCTTATTTTACTGGACATCTGTGTTTTGTGCCCCCAACCCAGGGTCTCATTAGGTGCCTATTTAAGAGGCCCTTTCACCCTCTGTTGTCATAGCCACCCCAACTCCTTGAAGGGGGTGTTTTGCTTTATGTTGGCATCCTATTCCCTCTGAGCACTGTGACTTTGTACATAGCACTGTTGGATAGATGGAGCCATGGCTGGCTCCACCAGCATGGCCAACTACAGACTCTCCTGCAGTAGTTGTGTTGGGACACACTGCGAATTTTCTGGAGAGGATAGGAGCTGTGCTCTGTGTGTGCCTCTGCTCAGTGTGTATCAGTAGGAAGGTTGGTGAGACTGAAAAAGTGTCCAGTTGGAGCAGGTTTCTCTCTGATGTGGGGATGGATTGTGATGGTGGGTTGCAACTGGGTAGGTATGTGTTCTGGGTAGCAAAGTGATGTTCATACCTAGTGATTTCATGTCCTGAGCAGCTGTCAGGACCAGGACAGCACATCAGCTGGGGCTGCTGAAAACCCAGGACACTGAGCAATTTGTTGCCTGCTTTATTCAAAACAAAATGTTCTGGCTTGGTGGCTGAGCTCTGCTCTTGAGCCTGGGCTGTGGGGATGGAGGGTAGCTTGTCTCTACAGATTTGCAGTAAAGAAAAGTCATTGCTCTTGTTGCAACATGCTTTTTTCCCTTCTTCCTACCCCTGTCTGGAACAGATGACAGCGGGCTCCTGGTGCACTGTATATCCGGCTGGGATCGAACTCCTCTCTTCATCTCCTTATTGCGCCTCTCCTTATGGGCTGTGAGTACCTGGCTGACCTGCTCTGCTTCTGGGGGTGATTGCTTGGAGGGTGAGTGACTGTGTCACCAGGAAGTAGTGGTGGAGCAGTTAATGTTCCTTTTGACTATCTTGGCTTCAGAGAGGGTGTGGATTGGCTTTGATGGGGAGCCCAACATGCTGTCCTGCCATCAGACACTGTATCACAGGCAGGTAGAGCAAGCTGGTCATCTTGGATCACCGCAACAGTTTTCGGTAGATCATGAATTCCCAAGTCCTGATCCCCAGGGCTGCTGCCTGAAGGCTGTTCTCATTTGCTTTGCAGGATGGGCTGATCCATGCGTCTCTGGAGCCGTCTGAGATTCTCTACCTGACAGTGGCCTATGACTGGTTTCTCTTTGGGTAGGCACACTAAGTTTTACTCGCATATACATCTATGCACAGCGGGGTAGAAACCTTCAGGGGGTCATCTTTGGCGTTTGCTCACAACCAAACGTGGATGTTGGGGTGGCTCCCAATGAGCTGTGACAAGAGGGGCTGATGCCTTTTTTTACCTGGAGGCTCAGAGCACCTGGCCATTCTTGACAGCTTGTGCTCTTCTGCTGATTCTGGCTTGCCAGTGTGTGACTGAGCTCCCCTTGCTCTCTTTCCAGGCACATGTTAGTCGATCGACTCAGTAAAGGAGAAGAGGTGAGTATCTGGTCTGGGGCAGTGGCTGAGCACTGCATTTTGTTCTCAAGGTACTTGTTTACGGTAGCAACATTCACTGCCTGCTTCTGGTAATATCAGTGGTCTGGCTGGGCTCTAAAAAGATTGTTTGGGTGCTGGAAATATGAGATAGGAGCCTTGCCTCATCGCTTCCTGATGCATAAGGTGTGGGAATGCTTTTCCCTCAGGCTACAGTTTGGTCGGTGGGTGTCAGTCCTGCCAGTTCCCCTGCTGTGCCATTAGTGTTCAGGCCCCTGGTGAAAGGGTGCTAGGACTTGCTATTCAGCTCAGCAACAAGAAGGGATGCTTAAGGCGTGTGACTCCTGGGAGCTTGGAAATAAAGCTGTATAGTCTTGTGTGCTTGTCCTGAGTGCCAGCCCTCCTGCCTGGGTGCTGCAGCTGCATGTGGCTTGCATGTCATCATGGGCTCATGGAGCAGCTTGTGTTCGTTCCAGTGTGTGTATTTGGCGGGGTGTATCTGTGGGTGCACAGATGGGTCTGGGAGGCAGTTAAGATTAGTGGAACTAATTATCTTCAAACCTTTCACTGTTTAACAGCAAAAAATGATTGCTCTGACTATAGTTGCAGTACACTGCAATATCATTTTTGGATAGAAACCAAGAGGTGGGGAGTATGTCTAACCCTGTTGCTAATTCCCTGCTCCTCAGACTCTCACCTCACTAAGGAATCCCCTGCCTCTGAACGGCAGAGCCAGGGCCCTGGCTTATTTTCCATCTTTCAGGGGTCCAGGACCCCCGTATTACTATCGTTCCTCCCATTCATTCCTTTTCCAGAGCTCCACTGGCTTGAGCCTGGCAGCTCTGCTGTGCTCTGGTGCCTGTTTGGCCAAGGGCAGTGTCAGTAGC